AGGTTTCCTTGGGTGGATGGCCAAGGTTAGTGTGTATCCTCCGTAGTGCTTGCAAGAGCCATTTGGGAGTTTCTCGATCCAGACCAGGGAAGGTGATATCACGGTAGCCGGCCTGGTAGGGCTGTAGGGCATCTGCCACATCGAACTCCTCAGTTTGCCTGGCCCTTGAAGCTTCCGGCACGTGTTTGGGCTCTGGTCGTAGATTCGCGGCCTCGTCCAAGGAGGTGTCGGGCGCCGTGCCGTAAAAGAAGATCGCAGTCCTGACAGGGCTGGCAAAGCGAGAGGCCGAGTTCTCCAGGATGGGCTTGATGGCCTCTGCCTCGATCCGGATGGAGTCGTCCGACATGTGTAGCACGACTCCCCTGTGCTTGGCTCCCGCCGAGATGATCTCAATAGGGAGCCGCCGTACCATAGGTGTCCGGCTGATCTGCACTCGAATCAACTCCCAAGGAACGAGAGTTCTGATCTTCTCGAAGAACGGGGTGGCCGCCTTGACAATGGCAGACATAGCGGCCTTGCCACGTAATCTTTCCTCGGCTTCCTGAAGCAGTGGTTTCCAAGCATCTTCATGTCGATTTACATCAACAAACAAGACTTGAACATCCTGGTTCTCGTGGGCTGCGATGTGGTTGCTGCAAAACCGCTCGTCCCCGTGTGCAGAAAGCGCGTCCTGGATACCATCCACCAATGCTTCGCACAGGTCCGGAGTGTAGACCTGGGCAGACCGAGTCACCTGACCACCCAGGCAGCGACCATGTTGTAGTGGTCCGCATTGGCACTGCAAGGAGACTGAGCTTAGGACCTCAGGTAGGTCCGAAAGCCATGCAGTTGGCTTCTTCAGCAGCAACCCGTCATTGTCCCTGAGGCCAAACCGGCACATATGGCCCGTTCGCAGCTCCACTCCAGGAAGAGCACGTAGTTGCCGTAGAGCGGGGTGATCCCAGAATGGGGTTCCCGCCGGGTTCTCAATCAGAAAATGGCATCCCTCCTGGTGCAGGGCCAGAATCGTCTGCACCATGGCCTCGACGGCAGCTCTCTGCTGCTGTCGGAGTTTTCGAAGCTCATGCTGGTCGTAGTTGAGGTGCTGGATTCGAGACCACGCCGTACACGGAATCTCGTAGATAGTCAAGAAGGGTCGGTGCCGAAGAAGAAGATCGCGGAGTAGTTCGTAGTCTTTTGACCCTTCCAGCTTCAAATCGTAGATCTTATCAACGGGCTGCAGTACACGCAGTCCTCGTTGAAGGGCCACCTCCGTGATGCCAGCATGGCCACCGTAGACCTCGATGACATCCACTCCATACCTCCGCATGGCCCGTGCCTTCCGGGCACGGAGTTCATACACCTTCAACTCGGTCACCCAGGCTTCATGCATGGACCTGGCATTGCCCAAGAGGCGCTTGCATGTTCCCTTCTTGATCTGCACCGGATGTCGATCGTCAGGATGTAGAGGATCGTCAGGAGAACCGCGAAGCACGCTTAAAGCTCCTCGCCGTAAGCGTCCACGTCCGGGATGTGGTTGTTCGGGTCGAAGAGCTCGTCCGGCTCCGAGCCCTCCAGGTGGTCGAGGTCGGTCTCGTGCCATAGATGCCAAGCGTCCTCCTGCGTCCATTCCTCGGGGTTCTCCGGGTCCACGCTCATCCGCTCCTCCGACACGTTGGATGCCGTAGAGGCCGTTCCATGCCATTGGCGGCCCCGAGTCAAACTGCCCAGGCCAAGACGCTGTTGCAAACTCTTGGGCTTGGGACGTGCCTGCATTGGCTTCGGTCGTTCGGAGGATGCCGCTGGTGTTCGTGTCCTTGTAGGCGCAGATGCTTGCCAGGGCGTGGAGTACGGTTGCGAATAACCTTGAGAGCGTGCCGGTGCCGGAGGTGCTGGCGGAGGGCCTCGTAGATGCGGTACGACAGGTACGCCTTGCTTTTTGGCCTTTGCGGCCGCCCTCAAGCTGTCCAGCGTCTCCTTGGAGAGGTTCAGAGGGGTCTCCGCCGAGGGTGAGGCCTTCGGCGTGGCCAAGATCATGTTGTTCTTCTGGTCCAAGACCCATCGTTGGCCGCAGAGGTCGCACATTCTCACGCGAACCCCGGCCGCCCCGTATCCTCGTACCCCCGAAGGATGTCTGCAAGTCGAGGGATCCTTCGTGTACCTGTCCAGGTGGAGCGCCTTTTTCGCTGCCATTGCTGCACTCGTCGTCATCATAGTAGCCGCAGTGCTCGGAACCATGTGGGTGCGAAGGATGGAGTCCCGGAGTGCAGGCTTCAGGCTTATGACTGAGTAAAAGAGAACTGCCTGCTGCACCGACGTCACAAACTCGAGCAAACGAGCCATCATGTTCCGCCAGTTGACCAACCATGTTGGAGAAGGCATGAGGCACCGCGCGAGCGGGGTCGACAATCTTCTTCAGGGCTGCTGTCGAGCGATAAGCTGCTGGATGAATAGCGTCAGGAGCTTCTGAGGGTATGTCAAACAAAGGCCATGCGAAGGGGGCATCGGGCCACTCATCAATCCGTATTGAAAGATGACCGCATGGTGACAACCACAGCTGCGAAGACTTGTCCAGAGCCCTGAAGTAGATCGTACCAGTATGCACATCTGGAACCGCCCCTAAAGACTCGAAGGCTTTGCGAGAAAGAAGTGCAGGTGCTGAAGCATCAACCGAACTCACGCACAGCATGAGTGGCTCGCCTCCGATAGCGGCGGGGTAGACGAATCGGCCCTGGCTCCGCAGCGGCCGACCTGGCCCAAAGCTGAAGTGGCACGAATCATCCAAAGCAACAGCTTGTAGCGGCTTGATTTCAAGGGCCTTCTGAGCATGCCACGCGTGTCCAGCTACCTGCCTCTGACAACCCGTATCCGCAATCATGAAAGCCGCATTCTGAAAGTTGTGGTAATTCAACAAGACAGCGGGGTTCTGGGTCATCTTATCGGAGCAACCGATGTACTGAAGCGCCAAATCTTGCAACTGAGCGAAATCGGATAGAGAGGCGTCTTCAGGACTGAGGGCTGGAAGTCGCACGACCTTTTCCTCCTCCGGCTCAGCTGAAACCATCCAACATTCGGCAACAACGTTGCCCTCAGCATCGAGTTCGATGCCGGCAGTCGAAACCTGGGCATTGTGCACGTTGAAGCTGGGGCAGTCTTTGATCCAGTGATCTGGGGATCCACATCCGAGGCATAGAGAGCCCTTCAACCGGGAACGATGAAGAGGTGACCCGGCCTTGGCGCCCTTGCCACCATCACCCTTGCCCTTCGACTTGCCGCCGGAAGAAGAATGGAAGCCTCCTTTGCCGCCGCTGCCCTTTCCTTTAGACTTGCCGCCTTTGCCGCGGCCTTTGGAGCCTTTGGAAGCTCCGGGCGCCCCGGACTTCCCGGCCTGATAGAAGCCCCTGGCCTGCACCAGGCCAGCTAGCCTCTTGGAAGTCACTGTCAAAGCTTGCGCCGCGGAGAGCAAGGCTTGCACACCCTCGCTGTGGGTCTCGCCGTTGGGCTCGTCAGGGGTATCGTCGAACTCCTGCGTCTCGTCCTCGTCGGCATCCGGATAATCGTCTTGTGGACCCGCCTCCGGCTCGTACTCATAGTCCTCGAGCGGATCCTCATGCGTCTCCTCCTCGGGGTTCTCGGGTACTGCTTCGAGGTATCCGCCCTCATCTTCCCCGTCCAAGTTATCATCCCACGTGGTGTTCCACTGCTTCCACTGTCGACCGGAGCCGCGGGACCGAGATGCGGTGGAGCCCGATAAAGTAGACGCCGTCGAGGATGTAGATGAGAGGGAAGGCGTAAAGTTGGACCTTCCCCGTGATCGTCCTTGCTTCCGAAGTTCAAGGCGGTGTCGAGGTACGCCGGTGATGGACATTCCCGGCGGGTAATGCACTCGTAGAGCGTCCAAGACACCCTTCATCTCGTACTTGTTGCCGGCAGCGAGGAGGATCTGGGCCGTGGCTCTTTCCTCCAATCTAAGGCCATCGAGAAGCTTGACGACCCGGGCCGCTTCAGGGTAAGCAGGCACCTTGCTTTCTTGCATCTTCCTCTCCAAAAGTCGAAATCTCCGAATGAAAGCATTCACAGACTCACCCTGCAAGCGCCCGATACTCTCGTATTCACGGATAGTTCCGCCCTGCCTGAACAACTCACGCTCACCGAAGGAAGTCTCAAGATCACGTAGAAGCACTGAAATCCCGTCGTCACAGTCATAACGGCTGTCCTCTACTTCCTCCAACTCGAGCTCGGCATCGCCACGAAGTTGCTCGAGAGCACGAAGAGCTTGCTCGTTGGGCGGTAAAAACTCCCGAGTGATGCGAACCCACCTCCAAAGTCTGCGCCTGTACTGCCTCAGGCAGTACGGATTGCCCTCAACGTCGCCGTCGAAGACAGGTGCAGTGGGAATCGCACCAGATCGCCAGCGCTTACTGGCATCGTTGTCGGTCTTAGCGCCAGCCGTCGCCTTCGGAGCAGCAGAGTCTTTGCCAGCTCCTCCCCGACAACCACGCTTCCTACGCCCCGCAGACAAAGGCGTCATGACACTCGTCCCATTCGAACCGGCGCCTGAGCTCACATTCTCCGTGCCAGCAGCAGAATGTCTGTCATCATCGGCTGCAGGAGGATGTGGTGCTTCAAAGTCGCCCGGCTCAGCGCCCCCGGCGCCTTCATCAGCAGAGTCCGTAAGAAGGTCCTCATCGAAGAAGGCGGCCATCCCGGTTCGTGTCCCCCGGGCGGTCGCTACCAATGCAAGAATCACGTACGCGGAGGCCTTGCAATCCGACAGCTCAAGCCCTTTTGCAGCATGCTATGTCCCTTCCCGTGGCTCGAGTCAAAGGAGCGACGGTCACGTCGCTTTCAAACTGCAAGCTAACATGGCCGGCTGTGCAACTGAAGTGCTTCGTTTCGCACATTCTCCGAACCGCAGTGATCAGCACAGCATGCGATTGAGCCTGTTCTCGTCGCACAGCTTCTCTTTCTGATCTTTTTGTAACATGCCCTTCTTCTACCCTGAGGTCTTGAGGTTCGGCCTCGTCAACTTGTTTGACCTGGAACTCTCTCATCCCCGCAAGAAGGACCTGACCATGAGTCACGGTCTCAATGGTCTCTTCCCATCTTTGCTGCGCGTGCTAGGCCGGCCTGGCCACCTGCGCGGAGCAACCGTTTTACCATGGGCGCCGACTGGCATAGCCTCGGGGCACAGAGCAGCTGTCTCCGAGGCATTCCGATGCCGCAGCTGATGTCTTCATCGGCCAAGATGAGGAGGCGGCGGGCCGATCACAATGTTTGCAACCACCAAATCGAAGGAGCCCTTCACAAACGGACTCAGTCTCTCTACTTCGGACGTGTGCACATGGAGGTTCGACAAGGCACTGTCACTGCCTCGGTCACCTCCATGGGCGTCCAGCCCTGCAATGTCATGGAGTGCCGCCAATCACCTTGCAGCAATCGGGGCCGTGCCACCTGTCGAACGAATGCGGAAACTCTCATGTGGGGGAGCGGACCATGCCGTGTGTAGAAGTCGAGGTCCTTGTCCAACATCTCCTGCTCATTGTACTGTTACATTGACATGGCATCTTCTCCCAGTATACAGCTAAGTCAAGTTGCCTCCGGTGGCAAGTGCAATTGCATTCGCGGTTCATCGCCATCGGCGCGTTTGAGTCCTGAGCAACGGTGGTGCGGTGCAATCGGCAACGCCCTGTACTACATCATGTTACCTCACGGAATGTTTCCTTGTCGAAATCCTTTACATGTCATGTGCATGTCTGGAGACACGCTGCAGTCCGTCCGAGATGCTCGGCACGTTCGCCTTGAGGTTCTCATAGGCTGCTGTTAGAGCATCTGGCACATTGTCCACCTCACGAGCTGGTTGCAACACATCGCGAAAACGCCCGTGTAGGATTCTGAAACCGCTCCATCCCTCCGAGTGATCTCCACTTCTGAGTGGGATGCCCCGAGGCACTGCCTCGCCCCCAGCCTCAGCAACAGTGCAGTGGCACTAGTGGATTTCTCTGACCTCTGCGTAAGCAAGTCTCTGTGCTTTGGTATCTTTTTGGAAGGTGGTTCGTGCCCAGGCATTCGTTTCTGGTGTCTCTCCATTGTCCTGGCCTGGTCATGCCTCGTTCTCGAGATGAGGAACCTGCACAATATCGTCTGCAAATGGAGCTCGAGCACTGACGAACTGAGTATTCATTTTTGGCCTCCACGGCTTTCATTGTGGTACTTGTAACATTGTTGTTGATATTCAGGTCTAAGGCTTACATTTGCATGGCAGTCTGTTCAAGCGATTTTCCCTGCACGGTCTCCTTGATGAGCACAATGAGCAGCATCCCACAACTCTGTTCCAACTATACTAAGGCCCCGAAACCCCTTCTAGAACCCTTACAATAACCCTTATAGGACCCTCTGAAGACTTTGAAGACCTGTACGAGGACCCCTTGAACACACATGCAGGAAGTGTTATGCAGTGAACATCTCTCGGGCATCGGCCCAAGAGCAACCAGACCCAGAACGCCGCTTCCACAGCCGTAGTCCTTAACACATTCTGCTCGTGGGCCTCTGTGTTGGCAAGCTACTGAGCCGTCACTACAAGCAGTGTCTGGGAAGAGGAAACATGAACCGACTGGAGACAATCGATGACCCACAACTCCAAACGAAGATGCGCGACGCACACGGCAGGGATCTTGGCCCAATCCAAGTCCTCCGAGTAGCTTGCTCAAGTTGCTGTGACCCGGAGGTCCACTCTTTACAGGGAAAACCCTAAACCCTACAAACCTTAAACCCTATAAACCCTAAAACCCTACAATTGGCCCAATGGGAAGCGTCCTGCATCGCTTGCAGCACCAGGGCTGTAGTCGGATGCTGACCGGATCCGAAAGGGCCCAAGGCTCGAAGCCTGACAGGAAAGAACTCCCTGGTTCTTGGTAGGGAATGGGGGAATGGATCCTTATGATAGTCCCTTAAGGTCCCCTATAGTTGTCCCAAAAACCCATTCCTCCATTCCCTACTAAGAACCAGTCAGACAAGGGAAGAGCTTGTCCCAAAATGCCGTCTCTGCTCCATTTCGTGAGAGCCAGCTAACCATCACGTGTCGTTGCTGCTGCTGGTTGCACTTTCCCGACGATTGCTACCGTCCAGTCAAAATCTCGTCAACCACCTGAGGGCAAGCTTGCCCATTCTTCCCTCATCCTGGCCCTGTCATGCGAGTTCACCTGGCTTTCGCTCCAACAACACTCTTGCCCAACTTGCCCCACCTTCATATAGAGTCGGGCAGACAAACACAACATCATGCGCTACCACGCCAGCTGGCTTTATCCAAATATTGGAACAGGGCCATATCAGGGTGCCAGCTGAAATGCTGCATTGGGTCCAGGCGATATGTAAGTGCAGTCTTGTTCTCTACCGCTATTTTCTTGGATAGCTTTGTTGCTTTGCTTATGCGTTTCAGTAGGTTGTTTGGAAGCATGTTCTCGGCCAGCACTCTTCCTGGCTGGGGAATGCTACTTGCCTTTGTACATGGACACGAACGTGCTAGCTCTGACATTTGAACCCCAGGCATTTTCGTGATATTTGTTGCCTTTGCAGAAAAAGCACGCAGTTCCCTCCACCAAACACGTTGCAGTGTTGCCTGATGACCACACCTTCTTCTCCGCTTGGTAGCTCGCGGTCCTCCATGCCCTGCCAGGGCTGGGGAAAGGCTTGGTGGTAGCAGTAGCCGAACCGCAGAGAAACCAACTCGGACGGCTTCACTCTTATGTGTAGACAGACAGACAGACAGACAGAGACACAACTACACACACACACACAAATGCACACATCACACACACACATAAACAGAGTACGTGCGACTTACATGCCCACATGCGTATACGCACACGGAAAGACACATGAACCATGCATGAATGCATGCATGCACACGGCCTGCATGCACAAAACAGCCTCTATACCAAAGTTTTCGTGGCTAACGTTCTTCGGTCCCAGCTAGGTTTCAGTATACATCAGTATATATACTGAGCTAGAGATCAAAGATTAGACATGCCGCGTGAACGTTTTTGCGCATGTCTGTGGTACCTGGCTGGTTTCAGTATAACTAAGTATGTATAGCATGTTGAAATCGTCCGGGGACTAGAGATTTACCGAAAAAGCAATAAGTCTGTGATCTCCGGTCCCCGGCTGGCTTCACTAAAATTTGGTACTTATACTTGTACTGAAACCGGCCCCGGACGGGAGATTTGAGATTAGACATGCCGTGGGACAGGTTTGGCAGGGGTCTTTGGCGCATGGTATCCACATGTGGATAAAAACGAGACATGGAAGGTCAGCAGTATTCATTCCTTGTGCTGGCTAGACTCGACATCAACTGGTAGAAAAACATGCTCTCTACCCCTGGGTACCAATGGGAGCATCTACGCCGGCTGCCTCAACCGGAAGAAAGATGCTTATCCGACCCACCTCGCAGGAGCACTCACGAAGCACTCTCACCGTTCTAGACTCGCAGTTAGGTGCAGTCATGCCGGGAGCTGCCTTGACGACGTCATCGCTGCCTCCAGATACAAGAAACTTTGCACCAGCAGCAGCAATCACAGCACCACCTTCAGCGTGTCGCCTTCTCGATCTCGCCTCTGAACGCTGGGCTCGTCGATCCTAGGCCTAGGCACAGCTTTTTCCGCTGTGGCGCTGTGCAGCTGTCCTGCACTGGGCTTGGATATGTATCCGAAAGCGACATCATGGGCACCCTTCCCCTGAGTTGGGCTTCGTGTGTGTTTGACCATGCCTCGAACAACATGCGCTCGCAAGGGGCAAAGGAACCATCTGAAACGTGGTTTTTGTCTGATGTTCAATCATTCCTGCCCTGCGGTGCAATGTTGTGGCCTTGCCATGTCACAATGTGAAACCTGCAGGTTTGCCGTGGCGGCCCATCCCTCCGATAGTCATCACGACGAATGTACGTCGTTTCATGCCGAGAGCGCCAACACGATCTTACTGTCTTCGCTGGATGCATGAAAGCTGAGGTTGCAGGCCTGTCTGCTGCCGGAGGTACACTCCTGCATCTGTGCGACAAAAGCTGCAGAGTAGGCTAGAGTCAGCATGCATGATCCTAGACCTGGCCTTGACATGAATAAATACCGCAAATTCCACCGAAGAACTGCACGTTTTGACCTACAGTGCATGACTCCTTGCCAAACTGGCCGACCACGCCAGGCATCCGTCGTTTGCAAACCTCGCAGCCGCAGCTCTGCGAGAAGCTGGCTTGTACAAGTGTGACAAGCACCAGTAAAACCCCGGCTGATGTGGCAGGTGAATGTGAAAGACAACGATGCGCTTCTCCGGAAACAGCTCCTCACTGGCCGAAGCTGCAAGCCGGTACAACAAAGAAGACAGGCGGCGATCGTCCTCCAGGAAACCGGCGCAGTCGTCTGCCAACGGGTCCAGCTCGTCTCCAACATCTTCTTTCCTCTCTGCTCCAGCTGCGGCCACAACGTCGTAGACAAGGCCTGCTGGCTGCATGGAGGAGATCACCCAACATCTCGTGTAGCCGTGTGGTGGTGTGCATCTGACGAAAACTTAGGTGAGACGGCCTTCCCCGGCCTTGTCTGCGAAGTTCACGGCAGAACTCCAGATCGAAGTCGTCCTTGGACACAGTCCGAAGAATGTGGCACCTGTCCGTGCCCCTGCAAAGCACCGCGCTGTCAGAACAGTAACAAAGCTTCTAGGCTTCTTGCAACATCTTACAAGCCTTGAAAGAGGCAGCATCCTGTAGCACCGGTGAGCTGAGATGCGCTGAGAACCCTGCGAAACGATGTAACGTGTGGCAGTACAGTATCATGGCGGACGGCCACCTTAGGAAACTCATGCCCGTTCTCTAAACAAGACTGGTCTCACGCTGTAGAGCTGTAGAAACACGACTGGTCTCACGCTGTAGAGCTGTAGGCTCGCTGTACTCGCTTTTGGAGTGGCAGGTACCGCTACATGCTACTGCTGCGAGGGCAGCATAACTTGGACTGCCGCATACTACTGCTTAATGCAGGGATGCATAGGGTCCTAGAGCGGGCACCACGATGGGCATGGTCCGGTAGCTTTACCAGCACTGTCCTTATGCACCCTCGCTGCTGCGCTTCCAAGTGTTTCCCATCCTAGCTCCCGGCCGTCTCGGGCTCATATCACGGGCATCGACCTGGCTTGAACCTTCCAAAGACCGGTGCCAAGCTCATGAACGCGTGCGAAAACTACGCTCGTGTTCATGAGCTCGGCTCTGGCCCTGTTCTGACTCAAGCTCTGATCCAGCCCTCTTCCACTTCGAGATCTTGAATCCGATCATGATCTTGAATCGAGGGGGGAACTCGGCCAGGGACTGGTGCAGAGCCTCTTCCGTAGTAAGGGCCTTTTCCACGATATAGTTTCGGGCCCTGTTCAGGATCAAGGCCCTGAGCAATCCCAAGGCAGCGTCCGATCTCTCGAACAGATCTATGGAATACGGCAAGCCACAGTCTCTGGTCAAGTCCACGAATTGTTCCTGTACCGTGCGACTGTAACACTTCTCGCCTACGATCCAGTTGTCGATCAAGGTCCTGATCGAATCCGGGTCCGTTTCCGCGTAATCCTGCAAGGCCAAGAACGAGTGTGGGTTCATGAACGGGTCCATTTCCCTGATCTGTTTCTCGACCTCTCTCGCGATATCGATCGATTTCGAGTCCGGGTCCACGGTCCAAACCAGGTTCCCGGACATGAGCATGGTCGGACACTCACTCAAACACTGAATTGAGTCGAAACTGCATATGCGGACAATGTGTGAAAAGGTCGTGTACTGGTCTCCGTAATCGACATCGCACCCATAGGGGACCTGTCCCTGGGACTGGACCAAGATCGAGGTCATGACCACAGACACGACCGCGTTGTGGTGACAGGACACGTCCTCAATCAAGGCCTCGAGTGCGGCCACCGCCGAGGATGAGTACTGTCCTTCGTCCACGGCCAAGTCTAAGTGCCCCTTCGCCTGACTGGCCAGCTTCAAGTCACTTGCACAGGACACAAGCCTGCACGCGAGCATGGTATCGATCGCCTTCAGTTTCGGGATCGGGATCCGGAATGCGATAAAGCACTGGTACAAGACCGAGAAATCGAACACGCAGTTGTGCGCAGCCACAGCCATGCCTTTGGACGCGGTATCGTACATGTCCATAGCCACGGCGATGATCAAGTCAGGGAACGAGGCGTGTACCTTGCTCTCGATCTTTTTCGTGCCACTGCGCTGGATCAGGGCTTTGGTCGTGGGCGCAATCTCCTTCATGCTCTTGTCATAGTTCGAGTCCCAGTATTCTACCTTGTGCTCAATCAAGGATCTGTCCGGGTACATGAAGCATACCTGGTACGGGATCAGGAACCAGTCTTGGGGACTGATACTGTTCCTGAGCTCGTCAGCGTTCCATGCCTTGGACAGGTTCGTCTTTATGTCCATGATCACGACCTTGTGCAAGGGCTTGCCCGCCTCCATGTCCTTTTTCTTGAGCCCTTTCGCTGCCATGGCATGTCTCACGAACTCGAACCGGGCCTGGATACCTTCCTCGTCCGCATCCACGCCCAAGGCACTATTCAAGGCCTTGTCTATGCACATGCAATTGCCCGCGCACAGTTTCTTACTCAGGTTCCAGACTCTGCTTTTGGTCGAGATCAAGGAAAGGTCCGTGCACGCGCACTCATACGGGCAGCAATTCAAGTGCGCGTATCCGAGCTCGACTGTGTAGTCTTCCATACAATGGTCCGCGTCCTGGACTGTTCTCTGGCTCGAGGACATGTTCAGGTCCGTGTTGCTGGTCGAATACATGCCCAGGTATATGTCTAGGCTTCGGTCCTATTCGAGCCCAGCGCAGGCACATACACGCAGGTGTGCACATGCACGTAGTCGCAACTTCTGCGCACATGCACCGACGCAAACACGGCAGCTTCTTTCGTTTTGTCAGTTCACGCAGGCCCCAGTGACTATGCACAGCATTGATGTGCAAGCCGGCTGAGTACTGTACAATGGTGTGGTCTAAGTTCCTGTCACATTTGGAGGTTTGAACGATCTTCGCGTCAATTCGTACAGGAACCCAGTGCAAGGAGTTGTCTGGAAGCCACACCAGCTAAAGCAGGTGCCAGGAAAGAGCATGTGCACGAGGCAGACTTGCTCAGCATTCCGACTGAACAGTGCCGTAGTGACTGTGCTTCAGGGGCTCTTCTTGTTGTATGTCGTCGCGACCATAGCGCGGGTCCTGGTCAGTTTACACTCGAAAGCACTGCACAGCACTGCAACTCGTACCGAGGGGCCCGGCCCGGTCCTTGACAAGATTGTCAATGATCCACGACCAAATCGGATTGAGAACACTAGGGGCAATGACCATCACAAGGACGAGCTCCTTCAGGGCGAAGGTAAGAGATCTGTCAGAAGCCGTTTCGGTCTGCGCCCAGAGCAAGCACGACGGTCACTAGGATTGTCATGTGCAACTAGCAACTATCGCTTGCTCTCATCAGCAGTCTCCGTCTTGGGATACGACTTGAAGGGCGTCTCAAGCGGAGCAATCAGTGCATCGATGCGGTGGTGAAAGGGGTAGATGACCAATCCCGCCTTGCCACACTCAAATCCCGTCAGGACCGCAAGCTACTCTGATGTTGGTGGGCTCTCGCTCAACTGTGGTGGTTTCTTGCAGCCAAGCAGCCACCGTGAATTTTTCCAGACAGCAGACAAAACCCCAGTATGTGGTCTGCGCCTCGTAGGCTTTAAACCCAAGGACTTGTTGAATCAAACTTGCTGCGTGGCATCGCGAGGCAGGCTTTTCAGCTTAAGCATGGCACGAGCCAAATCGGAATCTTCGGTGGGTCGCCGTACCTGTCATGCATTTCTCGTTTTCATTGCGACGCCGGTCGACCATGCAGAACAGCTGCCAGGTTACTCTCCACTCTGAAGCCATGTCAGCTGGTATCTGGCGACGACAATGCGATGAAATCGCATCCAAAGTGTCCTCGATGACAGCCAGCTATTCTCTTCGACTCTCCTAAAAAGACCTGCTCTCTGTTAGCCACTGCAAGCTGTTGCGGCATGGCCAAGCATATGCGCAGCATGGGTGCAACCAGCTATGGCCAAGGAGCAGAACGATAAGTCCTTGGTTCCGGCATCAGCGGCCAGTCACAACCAACAGGTGGAGATAACTGTATATCTGACAGTAGTCGAAGGGATGCGACACAGGCACCTCCCACAACGGTGATCATAAAGTTGCTAATGTACCTCGCAGCATGTTGGACGTCCAGTGAAAATTGAACTGGAATGGAGCATGAAGCCTTGCTAAGAGTTTGCTCGCTTTGACAGAGTGCATTGGGTCCTGAAATTTAGCGATCGATAGCTGCAGTCCATAACTTGTGGTCTTCACCTCTGCTAGGTGGAGGCCTTTTGAGATAGCCTATTTTTCTCCTACACCCGCATCGGCAGAATTCCTCCCAATCACTCTAGACCCTTTCTTTAAGCTTGGGCAGGTCGCCACACGCATTCGCCAGCCATGCCCTCCGTGGAGGCAAAGATGACCTGAAACGAAAGGGGCAAGGCCTATTTTCACTTCAAAACCGCATAGCACCTTTATAGAACCCTTATAGCAACTGTATAGGACCCTAAGGCACCCTTATAGAACCTTTATAGCACCTTTACAGAACCCTGATAGGCCGCCCTCTGTCAACGTAGCCACACGAGGGTGGAGCGGAGTCCCGTCCTCGGGCTACACGACACCTCAACTGTTACCCTGACTTATGGTCTCACAGACTTAGCCCTTAGTTGAGGTACCCAGGTATAAAGTAAGTATAGAGCCTCGTGCAGATAGTATGATACCATTAAAATCATAATGGAGTGGAAGGAAGTGGGACCCACGGTCTACGTGGCCCCTGATACACAAGTCCCACTCTCCATGTTCTGTAGTGTACCATATGAAGCCTCACATACCTGTTGTACGTTGCATACATCCTATACCCGATAAGACCGTACTTACAATTATAATGGGATCATGAGACAGTGGTTGAGGTGCTTAGGTATGGAGCCTCGTGCAGTTGGACTCTTGTACCAATATGGTCATGTTTGAGTGGAAAGACGGGAGGGCACTCTGTGGCCCCTTACACACGAACCCCAAATTCCCGCCCCTGCATTCACTGCACTCCCCCCTATTTATTCCGTGTTCTGCAGTGCAGAGATCCAGTGCAGAACTCAAGTTCAAGGTTTAGAGATGCTTGCGGTGTGCACAAACGCCGCAAAGCATAGATTTTCATCTATTTCCTCCGCCCCACCCCACGGCGGAGAAAAAAAGTGGCGGTGAGGTCCCCCTGACATACCTCTTGGACAAGGTGCCGCCAACGCCACATTGACGAAGTGCTGCAGGCTCATGGCAAACCCCTGCAGGCCAAGAGGCAAATTCTGGCTTCGCTTCTTGCGGCTTGCGTCAATCATACATGTAGCGTTCTTCCGTATGTATTGTTCTTCCGGCCTGCTTGGAAATGTCCATCAACCTTGCCAGGTGTCATGTAATTGCTGCTTATGGATGCCGGGCACTCATGGCAGGCTGCTTGAACTAATTCAGCCTCGACAGCGGGGATGGGAAACAACATGGAATGCATGGTTCATTCATTAGTTAATTAGTTGGTTGGCTTGATTGTCTTTTGCGTGGTCTCTGTGGGCGTGGGTCTGCGCGTGGGTGGGTGGGTGAGCAAGTAACCGGGTGATGCGAACACGGATGCGCTCTCGAGACCAGACGGAAGACGCTATTTCCAGTTGGATTTGCTCTGAGCCAAGCATTGGCAGCCTGGCTGGGGACAACGGAGACATGGCTGAACGTTTATTCTGAGGAGGCACGCTGAAAGGCAAACGAATTCATGTGCTAACATGTTCTAGTGAAGGGCTTGGGGCAAGAGGTCGGGACAGGATACCCAGCTTGCTCTACTTCGCCAGGGGCCTGCCACCTACAGTTCTTGGGTAAGCATCTCTAGCTCTTCCCATAAGTGGCTATGAACATCCTTGATCGCAGATTGCATGTCGTGGAGCTCTGCACAAGAGTGCCCGTTGTATTGCCTTGATGTGTTCACCCCAGTCTTTGGCAAAGCAGTTTGGACTTTCTGGCCAGGATGGGGTTTCCGAAATGCCTCGTTCTCGATTTCTGGAGACTCAAGGGCTGCAACGCCTGGGGTGGTTGTTATGACTGCTGACTGCTTGACTCGTCCGTTCTGGAGTCAATGCCCTCTTCCCTGTGCATGGTGAAGCTGACCATCAAAAGGCTGTCCACGAAGCCCTTTCGATGGGACAGCAATTGTCAACGCAAGCCTGCTGTGTCGGAACCTCCTCTCAAAACTGTAGCAACCGGAAAGTACACGTCAATGTATGCTAGATGCAGTGCCTACCATTGCCTACGGCCCGTCACACTCATTGACTCTGAGCGGCCAAACAAGCCATGATCGTGGAGGGTGCTCCTGGTAGCGCTTGTAAAGCAGCCTTCAAACAGGAACATCGCAAATGCAACAAGCCAAAAGGTCAAGGTACAAGCTGAGTGGCTGATCATGTCCGATGATGTTCGCTGGTACACATGCTATTTCACGACGTCACGAGGCATCGCAGCATTATCATACCAACATCTCGAGTCTCGAAGATGTCGACACTTTTACACATTTGCGCGTCTCTTGGAGGAGGTTGGAGCTGGGTGCCGGCCGAAGTGGCGTCGCCAACACCATGGCGGCCTAAAAGCAGTCGCAATCAGGGAATGTCAGGCAGGCGAGAGGCGGGGGGACCCGGACCTCATGACCACCAAGCCCTGCTCTCAGTCGCGCTCGATGTTCGGACATTTCAGGGGGCATGGTTGGCTCTACATGCTGAATTTGGTCGAGAGTTAAGGTGAGTAGCCAGGAAGACTTGCACCCCAATCGCAAAAGGGCCAGAGACCACCCGACATTCTTCTCGGATGATCCTGAGCGCAGCATTCGTTGCATGCTTGCGGAATGCAGGTGGTACTGACAGAGTTGCAGCCGAATTACTTCTCATACGCCTTCCTCTATGCGCACCATTCCAATTTGCTGCTCACATGTGCTTTGCAGGTACTGGCCATGCTTCTTCGTTCAGAACTTCGAAAAGAACATAGATGCAGGCACAGAGAGTTCGGTTGGCAAACTGCTGCAAGGCGTCTCTGGGGCGGCAATACTTTCTTCTGCAGTCATTTGTCGCTCGAAGTGAGCTATGTCCTTGGCTCCCACAGAGAATGTGAGCGAGCTGAGCGGAAGCCCGGCCACAGCCGCTCTTGAGAAGTTCCGACTGTAACTGATCCTTCTGCTAGCAACAAACTTGTCTCTTGAGGTTTGACCTGCATGCATCAAAGCGACACTCTTTCTTGAGGCAGCATCTGCCCTTCATTATGAACATCTGAGCTTGAACCAACACCGGCGACGAGAGCCAGCAGCAGGTGATATGGTGTCTGACAGGCGCTTGCCGTAGGAGTTGTATTCTGTATACGAGCATAAGCTCAGACCCGTGCTGCCTGGCAAACTCCTTCAAAACCCGCGGAAGGAGTTCGACACCTGCCTCGTCAAACAAGGTCTGAAAATCTGATGATGGGACACTTGATGGGCTTCTAGGTTTTGCCACCCAACTCAGCTGTGCCCGAACCCAGGCAAACCCGACTTCGAGCATTGCCAGATATGGAAACAAGCTAGAATCTCCTACATCATTTCTTAACTGTCTTGACTACTCTGCTGCCCTCAGTGGCCTGCGAGTAGATCAGATCAGAGCCAATGAGGGCATCCCAGTGCTGACCTGCAACCACTGCCACACGGTCCATGAAACACAAGACGCGATGTTGCTTGCTTTTGGGGCTGCTTGCATGAGCGCGTTGTTACACATGCTGTTATGCTCCTCATGCCTAAGCTAATGCTCTCTGTGCGTGGAAGGGCTAAAAGCAATGTTTGGGGTAGGTCTGTAAGACTGTTGAGGTTGGAAGTGCTGGATGGCTGGAAGTTGCTGCAGTTCAAGTTTGTATGAAAGGAGCCTCACGACGCAGGGCTCGAATTCCAGCAGCCGAAATGACTAAGACATGCAAGGTATCCGCCAGCGATCTTTGTCTGAAAGTGCGGAAGCTGAAAGCAAAGGCCAAGCAAAAATGAAGCAGGGAATCCAACACCTGGAATGTGCTCTTCCTGTCCACAGACATCCGTGTAGTCACAGTAGGACACGGTCGTAAATTAGATGTTGCAGGCAGGCCTTGCTCTTGTGCAGGCGGCCGAGGCAAAGCTGGCATTGATGCAGCGTCCTGAGCCAAAGGCTGTCGCATGACGCCGTGTCCGTGCCGGCGGACCACTTCACGCATAACTGGGATGGGAGCTTCGAATTTGCTCCAATCCAATTCCTGCCATGAAACGTTTCCAAGTGCTGTCACCGCTGAAACAATCAGCACAGTCCTGCAAGTCGACCGCACTGAGTGGAACACCAGCAGCCACCTCGCAATGAATCTCAGTCGTAATTAGGAGTCACGATTTCATTGCATCATACGGTTCAACATGCAGGGGCGTGGAGGATCGTCGGACATGCTCCCCGGTCGTCGACACAGTTCAGACTTCATTGCTTCATGCAAGCAGCACGCATTCTCCATCAGATTGTGCTGAAGCCACTCCATGGCCTCAGCGGCAGAAGAACAGCACTGCAAAACAAGTCTCTGCAGCTTTGCGGCGTTTTGTTGAAAGAATGAAGCCATTAAGCACAACTTCTCCAACAGCTGATGGCTTAGCAATGCCATCCAGTCTGTCCGTGTCCTGCCTTTTTCGCTGACATGAGCTGCATGTACTACAGCGAACGTGTCTGAGAGTCAGACTCCGCCATCTGCCTGCAAAGAAGCAGTTGAAATTTGTTAGTAGCCTTTCGGGCACACCGCTCGGCAAGCCTTGCGAAGGACATTCTCACGGACGATGTCAAGATGGTTCGATGGATCGTCTGATGACAGATGATGGACGACGGTCAGCAAATGCTTCTAAGTATTGGGAATCGCAAACTGGAAACTTTTCATGGCTTGCCAGAACTTACCGTTGCGGTCCTATCCTTGGAATGATCCCTTTGAGAGCATTGGATCGCCACACTTTCAGACTTCCAGTTCGCACGCCCTCTCCATGGTGCCATCCTGGTGACAGGCGGTCTTGGAGCCTCCCACGCGTGAAAGGGTCCTGATGATGATGATGATGATGGTCCAGCATCAGAAAGCAGTGTCCGGCCTGCTCAGTCAAACAGATGCTGCCCGATTGGCCCTTCTGCGAGATGTTCCGTGCCAAGGTCATCCCAAGCCTGCAGTCTTCAATCGTAGAACGAGAACACTTGACGTCAACATGTCTGCATGCTGAGTGACATCATGTCATGTGACATTCATGAGATGCTTCAAAGTGCGCCCAAGCGGACCGACTCTTGCCATGTCATCTAAGAACTCCGCCAGCCGGTTCCAGATCCAAGCTCGATAATGTTGGGGGCCTGCAGAGGACTTTCGAAGCAGAACTACAGAGCCCCTGTCAAACCACAACGTCGGCTGGTGTGTGCTGGCGGCGATACTTCATCAACAAGCCGATTTGTGCGTTCGGGAGTCGGGGGAACCTATCCTTCTGCAGGCATGGCCCAGCTTGGTTTGGCTGCGGCTCCATGCAAGCTCTGAGACCAACGCCCTGCCGGTGCCCCCCTGTGTAGAACAGGTGGACAGAATGGTCGGGCTCAGCAGATTCCTTCTTGGGTCCACACTACATCAAAGAAGGTGCAAAGAGCCGTCCACCTATGCGGGCTGAGGGCTGGCCTGTGACGCAACACTTTTACATGGTATTTCTTCCGAATCTTCCAAGTCTGGCACTCGCTTTCCAGGAAATCGCAAAGGCTGTGCCTGGCGTCGTTTCAAGCTGTAGTAACTAGGCATCACAAACGCCCCACACTAAGCAAGATAGAGCAATAGCAACTCAGTCCCCTTTAAGTCCAATATGCATCCTCTTCCATTGGGGACCCGGCGCAGCATCCCAGGTGCCTGAGTTTGCAGCAATGAAACATAATGAAACTATGACGAAAACCGGCAGACAAACAAACATCAGGAACATGTTACCAACAGCTGCAGTCTCATGCGCTCGGCTAAGTAGCCATTGATTTCTTATATACCACAGCTCCAAACCTCCACAATTGCTTCAAGCCATTGTGCTGTCTAGTTGTGGAAAGGTGAGCGCAGTTGGGAATCCGCCGATTGCATGAACCACTGAACCATCCATGTCAGCATGGCTTTACGATGGTTTTCGCTTCCTCTGTGCTCAAGAGATGTTTGCTGCAGGGGCAATGCTTGTAGATGAGGCACACCCGTGACCTGTATGGGGGGAGGTTTGACAAAGGATGGGCACAGCTGTCCGTATGTTACGTATGTTGTTATGCGATCAGTCGCAGTTGAACGGGCAGCAGCTGCTGCTTCTTTCTGAGAACGCATCAGAAGGTCATGCCCCCTCCATGTCTCGATACTTGCCCACAGCAACCTGAGGGATTTATCGATCTCTGGGCCCTTATTTCAGAGAACAAGCTTTCGGAGTTGGGATCCAGCTTTGCGTGGCTAGGACTTGTGAGTTTCAGTGACTCTGTGCCTCTGCGCATGTCGAGCACTTTTGGAACTGGCAGCCATGTTGTGAGCAAGGCGTGACAGCACGGCTGCTCGACTACTCGATTCGATTCAAGCGTTCTGATTGAGAGCAGTTCTCGTATACAGTCGCACGTACTCAAGCATCCATCGATTTGTTGTTTATGACTTGTAGCCTATATGAGACTGTCCGCTGTACTCCTGACAGTGTTCAGTCGGATTTTCTGAGATACTCAAACGTCTCAATATGCCTCAGAATTGACACAGCTGGCATAGCTCATACATGGAGCATTTCTTTACAAGGCCATGGCTTCCTCCAGTTGTCGGCAACGCACGATGCCCGCACACGATGTCCCGAATCCATGGTCCTTGAAGGGGAACAATGATGAGTTCTCGTTTCGACAACCTGAGCCAAGGGCAGCGCTTGTTGAACCAGAGGACATGGCCCGAGGCAGAATGTGCCATGAAGGACATGCTAGGTGGTACGGTAACGATACGACTCATAGTCAAAATAGCAATGCTAGCAGTAGCAGTAGCAATAGTAGTAGTCGTCGTCGTTATCACCGTTATCACCATAATCACAATTCAGAAGCATAGTCTTAATGAGGACGGGTACAGAATAGGATTCATGACACTGACAATAGCAGTACTACTGCCGCAGCAGCAAAACACGGGTACTATGGCTTGAAGGTGCCCAATAGGAATAACTTGACATCCTGGTCAAGTTCACCGCTCGTGTCGCCGGCGATTCTCGAGCCCAAAGGCAAAACCATAGATGGAGCAATTGAAGTTGCCTACAGGCACACTGAGTACATCAAAGGTGTGCTTGCGCACGTGAAGCTCGCTGACCACCAGTCTGGACTGGCTTCTTACGCAAAAAAAGCTCAGCAAAGGTTTATGCAAAGTTCCTAGCACAGCTTCCTTCGCCTTTTTTCCTCCGTGGGTGCTGGCATTTTCATGTCGCAACATGCAAGGAACGGCGGCACCTAATTATCACAAGTTCACAGAGTTTTATGAATGTTGAAATTATACATGCCTCACAGTGAACCGATGGAAATGACAAGCTTGCGGTCGCCTATCTTCTCATCTGCTGCTGAAGGATTGTGCGAGAAGCACAAGTAAGATTGAACAGGATTCCAACACGTCATGCTTGCATTAAACTAATCTGAGCAACCTCAGCATTCAGGTGGGAGTTGTTATCATTGATAGCAGTGGCAAGCTGTTTCTTTAGAGCTCTGCCTATGCTGGGAAACCAGATCCAAGCGCCATGTCCACCAGCCGTCTGCGAACTTCTGTCAGCTGCGAACTCTTCTATGGTCACAACTTGAACAGATCTCGGCAGCATGGAACCGTGTCAGCGGTACATCGGCCTGCAAGTTGCGCATGCATGAGGCAGCCTTCTTTTAAGTCTTTTGCATCTACTAAGCGCGCATTGCTGCGTCAGACCAACTTTAACTCAACAGAACTAAGCCTAAGCCTGCGGGCTGCAGAAATCTGATGACATTTGCATTTTAGTCTTACCTCCTTCGAGCGTACATGTTGTCACCATGGTTGGAGGCGATCAGTGCAGGGGACCTTGCTGCGACGAGAATCAAAACCCCGGCTAGGCGTCCTGCTGTGCACAGATGCAGAAACCCGAAATGCCTTGGTCAAGGATGACTTGGGTCGACATGCGCGCGCAGCGCCTGCCAAATCGGTGGCAGGAGATATCTGCCGAGCCGCCAAAAGGATGGCGAAAGGCAGGGAATGATGCAAAGTGCAATGCATCCAAAGACAGAGTGGGTACGAGTCATTGTAAATCTGCTGGTCTGAAAGTCTGCCATGCATGAGTGACACCGACTTCCCGTGATGCTTTGCAGCACTTGGAAGCGAAGCTTGCTGTGTCGGAAAGGCTCAACCATCAGAACCGGAGGGGAACGAGCTTGACCTGCTAGTGCCAGTTGGCACTCCACCTTTTTTTCCGATCTTCGATCTCTTTGGGCGTAGGCTTGCTCTTGACCGTGCGCACGCTCTGAGGCGACGAAACCGAGGACAGGCTCGGCAAACTCAAGCAGGATTGAATTCCGGGTGTGCTGGCCGAGGGAGTGTCAGCTGTCTGCTTCCGCTTCAGGTCCTCATCCTCCTTTACCGGAACAGGTGGCTCACGTAATCTTTCCAGGAGGTGACGCAGGTGTGCCATCGCAAGCTCACGGTCCCTGATGGTTCCTTTCAAATGTCTCATAGCATCTTGATGAACCACTTCCGAGTTCGAGAGTAGGCTGTATACAACTTCCAGTTCACGTCGAGCATCGGCGAATGCAGACTGCAAATGCTGCATCTCGGCAGTGCTTTTGCTTGCCTGACTCCTCGCTTCGGCCGCGTCGGCCTCCACTTGTGCCAACTTGATTGTTAAATCTGTTAGTAGCCTGTGCGATTCGGACGCAGTTTCCCTGGAAGAAGCTTCTCGAAATCGCAGAAGCTGTTTCTCAGCATCTGCCTGCTGCTCAAGGGCAGTCTTGCAAGCTTCTTGAACCGCAGTGACCTTCTCTTCAGCCTCGGAGAGATCCCGCTGCGCTTCCTTCAACTGCGATCTCGCAGTCAGCAGCTCTGCCGAGGTCTCTTCGGCCGTCGCTCGCAGGCTCGCAGCTTCGGCTCTGGCTGCCGCTGCCTCTGCGCACGCCGCTGCCGCCTTCGCCTGGCGATGCAGCACGGGACCGGAAAGCTCAAATGCAGCCCTACAGGCAGGCTCTCTGCACCAGGTGCACCTCTACTTCTGCAGCGATGGAGGAATGCTGAGCTGCAAGGGCCTGGCAGAACAGGAATCGAGGCGTGCACGTGCTCTGCACGACTTCAAGCACAGCACCTCGGCCGTCTCTTTGGCAGCTCGTGATGATTCCAGCTCACCTTGCTTCGTTGCAGCACTGTCCACATGCCGCATCTAGATTCTGTACTGAAGCAAGCTCCTCAGCACTGCACTGCGCAGTTTTTGAACTTCCTCTTCCTGTCACACACGACACCCACTTCGCCGTAGCTGCACACTTTGCAGCAGGAAACTGTATGTTGCAAGAGTCGTCAGGCACAACGGCCATTAAAGGATGCCTGCTTCTCGTAAACTACATCATGGACGCTCGGGTGGCCTGGCTGAGATGTGCCAGCTCCCGTGCGCTCACACGGGTGTGTTCCACTGCAGCTGACCATGCCTTCCAACATCAAGCAGGTGGTCTTTGCATCATGAACTGCATTTAGCGCTCTTTCTCACTGCATTTTGAATACTAATCCTCCATAAAAGTCCAGCACAATGCTGAACGTAACTTTACGCACAGACGGTCGAACTTGTTCTTGTCGAACGCATTGCAAAGGTTTTTTTGCAGTGGACTGCTCTTCTAGCTGCTTATGGCCCTGATGATGCGATGTGGTGCTCGTTTGAACTTAAACACCTACGCCAAACATCATGACCGCCTCCCTTAATGATCCGTCGAAACGCATGTTGAATCATTATCACTGGGTTGTGACGGCACGATGCCGGTCGAATTTTTGTAAAACTCCAGGGTGCTATGCTTTTTGTAATGGTTTTGAATCGATGTTGCTTCACTCGCAGCTTGCACGCGTCTCGGTGAGCAAGGGTTCCTATGTTGTGCTAGCGGCAGTGGTTCTGGCACGATTTTGGCCTCATGCGCGAAAATCTATGCCGCTTTGTAGACCGTCTACGTGGTCGTCTGTCGTTTTGTGGTGCATAGTCTCGAGCCGGGTCTCGCGATGCCGTGCCCGATACTGCAGCCCAGATGTCCGTCGGCGTCGAGCAGAAACGGAGGGGTTTGCTGCAATGCTTGGTGTCTGCTTGTCGCGTCACCAACAAGCAGACATAAGCACCTCCCCCCCTCGGATGGCGCAACCATGCGCAACCGAACCCGTGGCATTGCGCATGTAGCGCTCTGTGTATTCCCGAAGGTGTGGGTGTTGCGGGGGCTTCTCCAGTGATTGCTCTGCTTGCTGCCTTGGCATATGTTGGGATGAGTTGATGGCCTTGAGGCCCTGATGATGCCATGTAAGGCTCTTGTCATGAACTCGATCTGATCCGCTTCCATGTGGGACATGTGGGACACTCTTTTGGAGGCAGGAGCAGCGGGTGGTGTTAGTTGGCCGCGAACTTAGATCTCAAAAATTGAACCCGAGACATTCGACCAGCATTGCCGAACACTTCACACAAGCACAGTGGTGGCCATTCCTTGCTGTTGCGACTCTGAAGTCTGAAATCTGTCCAAGCAGCGCTGAACACGTTGCTGATCAGCAGCTGCCGCTGAACCTCCATTGCATGCATGATTATGATTCTTCGTCGTCAAAATTCGGATGCTTCCCCGCCTCCTGCCAAGAGCGCAGGGCGTTCTCGCAGCGATCTCGTCGTTGCCTGTGGAGCCTTCCATAGCTAGAAGAAGCCAAATCTGATCCGCAGCCGTCCCCTATTCTGGGAGCTGCCGTGCCTCGACACTGTTTCACGCTGCATCTCCAAGGACACTGTGATGCGATCCACCCAGGCCTCAGTACATCTGACTTTCCCTTCGCCAATCGTGGGCTGATGCTGCGCGATCCCGCGCGCCTTGCCCTCCTTGTGACTGTCTTCTGTGCGTCTTCGAGTGCATGCCTTCACAAGCAGCTTCCTATTGAAAAAGACATGCAGGTATTTGCAGAAAAGAGACTAAACGGATGCCTCTCGCCAGCCCCGCAGGACCCCTTCGAGCCGCTGCTGCCTTGCCTGCCGTGTTAGATCTCACGGCCAGCACAAACGGGCAGAAGGATATCAACGCACCGCACTCCGCACCAGGGCACCTCCTTTGCGAGATGTTGCTCAAACCGCTCGAGGAGCAGCTGCGGGGCAGCTCGGCCTCGGCGAATGCCCCCGCGCTCTCACACCAGAAACCGGCCGCCCTGAGCTTCTAGCCGTTCTTTGAAAGAGCTGAAACATCAGCATCGGCACTATGATCCGCCTCCTGCGCTCAACGTGCATCGAGTTGCAATGCAAGACGCACCTTCTGAATCCCCGCTCCTGCTGGCGCGGCTCCTTCGGTTCAAAGTCGGGCAACAGTCCTGGCAGGTCAACTTCATGCTTGGCATTACTTGGCCAAGCAGTGAGGATGTCGCGTGTGTCCTCGTATCTCCCTCCGCCTCGGCGACTTCCTCTGCACTTTCGCCCATTGAATGGCCTCTGCACTGTCACCGAACAGAGGTGGACCTCGGCCCGCAAGGGAGTGCCGTGAGCGAAAGTACAGCGAACAGCAAAAAGGCCCCAGCGCTCGGCCTTGCATGCCTCCGTTAGCCTCGGGCGCGCTCTCCGTCACCCTCTCTGGCTCAAAGCCTCTCGTCCGGACAGCAGCTATAACTGCAGCCCGAAGCGCTGTGTCGCCGTCTCGTTTGCACGAGCAGCAGTGTAAGCTTGTACTCGGTCCAAGGACTGCGTCAGGCAACACGAGACCAATTCGCAATGCCAACTCATGATCCCAACAACTGCGCACCTGCAGGACCTGATCCCAATTCGCCAAAATGTCGGTGATCTCAGCCCGATTGCACACTTGCATCACAGAAAACTTGATTACCACGCCGTTCACGGCACTAACCAGGAGCTTTCTCGGAACCGAGCCCCAGGTGTGAGGCCCGTCCCTTCTGCTCTGGGCCTCGCACATCGCACTCATTCGATGCCTTAAAAAAGAAGCAAAAACCCTACTTATCCCTGAAAGGTTGCCGAGCTTCGGACATTTCGGCCAGTTCGCGCCAGGGCAGGATGAGGAGAAGCCACGACAACCGATGATGATCTTGTTTCGAAGCTGCGGTATGTATGATGCTGATAGCGAGAGTGCACTTCAGAGTTGGTCTTGCTACTTCTGCGTTCCCGTTGTGCCGAAAGGTTCCACAGGCATGTAGCACCCATGTGGCAAAGAAATAAGGCGGCCGTCAGGGTAAAGGAAGTCTTCCGACCCACCTGACGAGTTGAAGCTGAGCCAGCTCAGGCAGCTTGTGGCCTTTCGCATGGGAACTCCAGAGCTCCACATCGGAAGCGATGCTACCGAACGGGTCCTGCAGGTAAGACTTAGCGGCTGTTCATGGCGAAGTGAAGCCCGTTCAGCTCCTCAGGCGACCATCACCATTGCGAGGCTTAATGTTGATATGTTCAATGGAAGTTTGCATGACAACCCGTCATTTGTCGATGAAATGGGCGTGGGGGAGAGGTCTCGCGTCCGAGGTGCTCTGCTAGGCATGGTGCCTTGGAACTGCCAGCCTCAGCCCGCCACGACAGGTCACAAAGATCGGCCGCTCACTCCTGCGTTTTTTGGTCCGAGTGGCCGTTTGCAGGCGGTACCAGTGGAGCCACGCGTGGATCCTGCCACGCCTAAGGCTTGCTCGGGCAGCAAGCTGATCAGTGAGCCGCAAAAACCTACGAAGTGAAATCTGAGCCTTGGTTTAAGCAACGGAGGTGGGTCCAGGCTACTTTTCGGAGGGTGTTTGGCTGGGGAGCTAGAAAAGGCGTCGTGTCAGAGTTCACTCATGGGGGCAAAGCAAAGAGCCGGAGAGAGCTCTCACTGGGTTTAAGGCCGGGGCAGCATCGCCCAAAGATATAACTTGCACCTTCAGAACTCACACAGGCAGGTGAGTTTCCAGCTCTTCCGTGCGTCACAGATGCTTGCATACTGCGGCGCAGCTGCCTGACTCTTGATGTCCTGCTGATATCCGATACCTCCGATGCTGACTCACTTCACAAAGCCGTGGTAATGGTTTACTATTCGCGACTTCATGTTAGCATGATGGCAGTGCGGACACTTTCTTGAGAGTGGGGCAACTTGCGGAGCATCGCACCAAGAGCAGCTTTCAGCCGTTGGTTGCGGTGTCTGAAAACTTCATTGAATAATCTAGCATCCGAATCTGCAGACATGCGCGGGCAAGGCGCAAGAGTGTTGAACTACAGGTCCATCAGTGAAGCCTTCGTGTTTGACTCCTTTACTCCACTGCAGATTCACTGGACGTTCACCCCTCGATGCTGCTGTACAGGTAGTGTTCCAATCTAATTGCTATCCTCAGTGCTTCCTCCGATAGCGGCTAAACGGTGGCCGCCACCTCGAAATGGGCATCTGGGCTGTCAAAGTTCGATCTACGCACCACATGCAGTGAGCTGAAAAGACACGGCAGCCTGAGGCTGCAACGTACTTCGGAGGCTTGAAAACAAGCGCAGACTGTTCAGTCCCTGTCAACTCAGGCATGTCTGCCAGGCATTTTCGGGTGTCAAACCCAATTTTGCTGACGATTTTATGCCAAGATGGTGTCTGTCTACGTGCCAAATGGTTCACAAACAAGAAGGCGCACCACAAGCATCGTAGTCCCCTCGTGCAGCAGCACTCCCAGCCAAAGCGGCATTCCTGTGAAGAGTGTCACGCTGCTCCTGGCTGCTGGAACAGGAATGTAGTCAGTGGCATTTGACAAAGCATTTTTATTCTGTTTGCGTTCAAACGTGCTGGCACAAGTCAGTCTTACTACGCAAGGCATTTTTGCATGCCAGCCATGGAAAGCTTTTTGTACGCTATACTGCTATACCTGTGTACAATTCGTAACCCGGACATGAGCAGCTTCAAGCTCGGAAAGCGACGCGCCCAGTATAGATCCACCGGCAAGACCTTCCAAAACACTCATAGACACTGCCATGTGAGATCTGGATGAGGCCCGGGCAGAGATTCTGGAGAATGATATACCGCGCTTTCTGGGCCAAGGCGAGAAGCCAAGCCACCTCGGCTAAGCTCAGGGTTCTATGATGAGACCCTTGCTATAGAGGCTCCGCAACTCTCGCTACCACCGGCGCCTGATCAAAAGCCATCCATGCATGGTTGCCTGAACACGAAGTCCCACTTTATGACTAGTCTCCCCCTGGTCTGGCACCATGGCACCGCAGCTGCCATAAAATGCGCGATCAATGGACAACGAAGTACGACGAAAGCTTGGACCGTTTCGCACGCGCTTGACTACTGGCAGGTCAGCTTCTGAACCGTTCTCTATTGCAGCGCGCCAAGGCTGCGTATGTCTGAGAACCGAACACGCTTCAGGTCGCTGTCTCCACGAGGGTCACTAGCCCGTCTGAGTATCAAAGCCTGCCAACACAAAGCGCTTCACAAGCCTGCAGATAAAAGACCGTGGATGTCCCGAGAGTGCTTCAGGACGTGCGAGAGAGCATCTTTGATCATCACAAACAAGAAAGGGTAAGCTTCACCTCGTTCGGCGTCTCAGGGTCGTCATCATAGTGGTGAGCATCAGAGTCATGGCACTTTGTGCTTTTCGTGGTGCAGTCGGTAGTGATGACCGATGTCGACGACGATGAAGACGTCGATGACAACATGCGAGTCTCCGAAAAACATAGCCGCCGACTGTCAAAAAAGACTGCTTTCTAGGAGGATCGCACATCCGTCATGCATCAACCCACCCATCATGCAATACAATGTAGTCCATAGAAAATCATGAAATCCTTACAGACGACTTTCGGAAAACCAGGATCAACAACACTGCGACAGACTTGCCAGGGATCCAAACTTGCTGTCTCCGGGGTAATTAATTGACGAGGTGAATTGGCACTCTGTGTTCCGCTGTAGAAAGAGGTAGACGCGGATCACCCTGCTTGGTATATCCCAGACCTGACGAATCCAAAAAGGAAGCGTTGGCGTACCCTGGCAGCCAAAACATACCGACCAAAGGCTGGCCCTAAATCCCCAAGCCCCAAGCAGGAAAAGAAAAACAAGCCACCAACAACAACTCGAAACCTTGAACAGCCTGAAACCTAAAACCCCTAGTCTACAGTATGCACCCTCAATACCTGAAGCCCTGAGCAGTGTCGTTTCGAGCTTTCACTCGTACAGCGTTCTACACGACTGCCTTCGACAAATTTGGATGCTTGCACGCAACAAGCTTGATTTACGTGTTAGCTTCCGTTGTGAGAGCAGCTTTTCAGGGTCGGAGCATTGCTGACTACCAGACTACGGTGACTATGCCAATCAGCAGCAACCAAGATTCGTGAGCTTTCAAAGTTGTGCAGAAAACCGTGGGGACCCGACGTCCGATCCATCGACGGCGTTGCTCTGCAATGCCCCGTCCGTCTGCGCCTCACATATGACAAGGATGGAGGCACGTAGCAGAAACGAGACCCAGATATAGACCCTAAATTAAAGGAGCCTACTGTAAGGGCTCCCTTTATTTACTGTCCGTGCTGCAAAGGCTTCGGACCTCCAGTGAAATCCCTGCCGTCGCGGCCGCCAAAGCAGGAGCCTGGTTTCCCGACACAATCCACATCGCTCAAGCCTGCCAGCTACCATACCACGTGTCCAAGCACCGGGCATCGTTGACTCCATCTCCGACCATGACGAGGCCACCCAGAGACACGCCGAGAAGACCCAAGAGCCGCGCTTGCCACCTGATCCGCTCTGACTACTACTGCTGGCAGCTGTGCTCGAGGCACATGCAGCAGCTGCTTCCCTATGGCTAGTTGCCACACTGTAGCTTCGATGCACGTTTCGCATTTTTGCGAACTTTGACCGGTCTCTGTGGATGAGTAACAATGTGATCGTGCATGATCGCCTGAACAGAGCACCTGGGCCTTGAGAAGATCAACATTTTTGCTGGTTGAACCCACGCTTAGATCCAGGCGAACCCTTTCCGGCTGTTTCTCGGAGTAGGGTGTCGTACAATCTCACCTGCGCCAGAATCTGACGCTTCCGATCTTGCAGCCCTTTCGACCGGAGTCCGGCGACCTCCTATATGCCAACAACCTGCAATGCCCGCTTCGCCTTTTCGAGCTTGTCTTCCGGTCTCAAGTCCGCGTGAACGGCATCGAAGTTGGCGGCGCCTGACAGGTCTGCGCGAATCAGAGCAGCGCTCGGCCGAGTCGCGCAAGGCAACGGTTGGCCGGAGGAAGCCGGGCGAGGCACCTACTTCATCAACCACACTTCTGGCATTGGCATGGCGATCGCCGGTGAGCATGTAAACCTTGGCAAGGGATGGGCAATCGTGGCGACCAGGCAGTCAATGGATGAGCACGAGCTAACCATCAATGATGCTTCAATGCCGCAGGCAGCTTTGTTGGGAACCTAATTGAAAGCAAAGGTCCGGAGTGCGACAGCCATGCCAATTTTCAGAGATGAGATAGAGCAATAGATCATGGTTTCGCGTGATTCTGCAGTTGTGCATGGCGTGCATTGGCGTGCTGTACATTCTGAACACATCTGCTCCTCATGCATCTCCCATGTGGAGCGAAACTCATCCGGACCTTGAGCAGGAAAGTCTGACTGAGTCGTTGGCAGGACCTCCTCGAGAAACCTGCAGTCTGGGCGACCCCACTAGAGGTCCACGAACTTTTCATTGGTTAGGGGTTGACGGGCCACTGAAGCACGGCGCGAACACAGCCATTTCCACTGACCGAGTGCGATCCTATGGACAGCTCTTGCTGTTGTGTTTGGGAAAGCCGAAGACAAAGGAGCTGTCGACTTTGTTTTGATGTCGTCTGCAGGCCCTCAGCCTAACGACCGCAGATCTTGGGAGCACATATTGCGCTCGTGAAGTCAAGTGCCTTGTGATGCAGCGAAACTGTCACATGCATACACACCTAGGCATCCTGTCGTTATGTTTTCATGCTAGCGCAGAAGTGTGGTGCGAAGGGTTTCTAGACAATGTCCTTTACTGGGGAAGGGAGATAAATGGATGAAAGCAGGCATCTGGCAAAAACATGGCATGGTAACTTAGCCTGCCTAGCCGGTCCACTGCACGATGGTCAAAAGACATGCTCTCTCCTATAGTCTTTTTTACAGCACTTGTGGGGGGTGGCGGCAGTTTCCCTTCACAGCTAGGCAGTGCTTCCGTGCCTCTGCCACCACAGCGGGTGCTGCTTCTTTGACGCTGTCCTCTGCTCAAGGCAATTCCAAGCTGGCCATCGGGACCACCTGATGTCCTCATGTGCCTCCAAAGCGCTTCTAAGCACTCTGTAACTGAGTCAACCAAACGGGCTCCCCACTTTGACAAGAAAGCTGGCATAAGCTAGCACCCAGTGGAATACCAATACATCTGCACACCGAGTTCTTGCCGGCATCTGCTTTCTATGGGCTCCTCGAAGTGAAACAGCCAGGCTCGAGCCTGCCACGAGCGCAGCTTGGGCTACCGGGAAGCGACACGCAGTGGTCACAGCTCCACGTGCCGACTCAAGCGCTTCAAGCCTCCTCATCCGGCGACCACACCGACAAAGCCATCACGACGCTGCCAGTCTTGGCCACCTCCAGTGGCCGCCCGGACTTCTCAAGAGGAAAAGGGGCCACGTCAGCTAAAAGTTTTGAAACATATGCCTTGGCTGCTCGCGACCGCAGCGCATGCACCAAAGCCTGGGAGAGCTCAACGCCCACCCAAGCTCCTCTTTTTACAAGACACAAGGCGTTCAAACCACTTGTGACAATTCAAACTGAGCCCGATTCGTGGCTGCTTCGCCCGCTTCCTGTCCCAAGAACCCATTACGGCTAATGTGACGGTCGGCGTTTGCTGTTTGGACCAAGGAACAGTTCATCTGCACCATGTGAAACATCACTTCGATGGAATTCTGATGGATTCTATAGCAAGCTGTCGACTGTGACTCTTGTCGCCTGGCCTTCCACCTGGTTCGCCACAAACGCCGGACGTCCCATGGCCTTGTGGCCAGGCTAGAGGGGTGCCGCTTGCATGTTCTATGCTTCTGCTCGAGACATCTGAGCCTTCTCTTGAAGTCTTGTACTATCGCAATCAACTTATCTTATCAAAATCAAAATCCAACCATGTACGGATTGTCAGGCAGCTTGCACGTGCTGCACGCAGAGGGACCTTTGATCTATCCAGTTCTCGCCACTGCATCACGATAAGGGGGGAAGCCAAAGCAGGGAGTCGTGCTTGTGGCTTCATGCTCAACCAATTGCTTGGTCGGTAGGCAGAGGACTTGCGCTCTGCGCTCCACCCGTGTCTGTGTGAAACTCTCTCTTTCTTTGGAATGCTCTTGTGTTTGCTTGCATCGCAAGCTTGCGCTGGTTTGGAACCGTGGAACCGAGCCGCGGCCACACATGGACAAGCTTGGTCTCCGGCGGCTTTGCAGGTGACACCTCCGGTGCCGTTGCATGCCGTTGCAGGATCCCTTCTGTTGCAACGGTGCTCTCCACAACGCCTACTAACGAGTAGGCGTAAGCTGCCACGTGCTCGGAATGCGAGCAACACTCACTCCAGGAAGGCATTGTTGGGGGCATCTTGCGTCAGGCTTTGCAACGGCTCTTCGCGGCTGAGGTTCCGGCCGTCTTCCTTGGGCAGCAAATTTCCAGTGACGCCTTCACCAGCGACCATTTGGAAGCCCGTGACCTGTACGGGGCAGCTGTGTCAGCTATGTACTCCCCGTTGCATGGCCAAAGCGGCTGCCTGGAGGGGATCCTTGTCTTCGGGCAGTGCCGCTACGGCTGCCCTTGAAACGGGATGCACGGACAGCCGGCCTTGGTGCCGGCAGTTGCATGCAGGATTTCTTGAACTGCGTCAGTGTTGCCACAACACCAGCACCGGGACTGGTGCCAAGGGAAGCAGCGCAAAGCAGGGCGTCCACTTGATGCTCGCCCTGAGAAGGCTTGTCTGGCACACAAACCGCCTGGACTTGCTTGTCACTTGTCGGCTTTTCTTCCGTTTTGATGTTTTCCCTCCTCGACTTGCTTTCTTGTCGGCAAGGCACAGCTGGTTGCACGGATTCCTTATGGTGTCTGTTCCCTCGGCAAACACAAACGGACACATGCACACACACCCACACACACACACAAATCCATGTAAAGTGATGCTAAGTTAACATCGATTATCTGCTTGTCTCGTGTTTACATGGGGGTTTCCGAAATGGGGGACCCTAATATAGTACCCTAAATAGTAAAATAAGGTACCCTAATTTTCGGAAAGTCCCACATGTGTCTTATGCCGTCTCTTGCTCTCGGCTTTGTTTTCGCAAGGCTGGAGGCGAAGCGAAGCGAAAGGCGGGCTTCGGTGATGAGGTCTGATCCATTACCATTACTAGTACTATTACCATTATGATTACTATTATGATTACTATTACTATTAACGATTACTATTATTTGGCTTGTAATCCAGCGGGCCTTGGACTTGTCATGTGCCGACTCGCTGTCCACGACTTCCTGGCTGCGATCCAAAAAAGGCCCAAATCCTTCAAAATCAGAACCGTCTCTCGTGAAATCCTCCAAACTCTGCAGAACTGGCGTGCCGGTAGTCAGCGTCCCCGTCCTTAACTTATGCTGAGGGCAGAGTAAAGCTTCTAGTGCAGGGCTTCTTGGCTCTGCACTTGTCAAAAGCCACTCCACTTGCCACTGCCAGCGCGTCCAGAGTGCGTCCTCCTTTCAGCAGCACCTCCAATCAGGAAACTAGTCTCGTCTCCAGACATGCGCAACTGCTGACGGTGTGGAATATGCAAGCAAGTTCTAGATTCTAGAAGCTACAAGACCCAGCGCACCCCATTGCGTGCAGCAACAGAGAGCCCGGAGAGGTAGACCAAGGGCGTCGAAAGAATCAGCCTGCGCTGTTGGCCAAGCTATGCACGAACAATGGAATGCCGCATGTCTTGGTGCCAGGCGCGCATGGGGATGCAGTGATAAGCCAAACCAGAGCGTGGTATACCGACCTTTCGGCGCGTGCGGCTACTTGAGCTGCCGTGGTTGTCTGAGGAAGTGGCCTACCAAGTGGCGCTCGAAACAGCAGCGGTGGCACCGCCTAGCAAACGCAGCACTACTGCAGCATGGCATCGCACTTCAAAGGTTCGGATCAGATCGAGCTGAGCCGAATCGGATCCGTGTGTTTGGTTTTGGCAACTGGGACCGGGCGTCGCTACAGTCTTTTGCCATTGGGACTCGTGTTACGACTGCATGAGCTGCGAAGCTTAAGCAACTGGCCGCGACGAGGGCAGTCGAAACGACCACCGCAAAGGACCAGCCTGAGATTAGCCAGTCAGATATGCACGACAACACGACGGACGATGCTCCAGCATTGGTGCGTCTGAATCTGTGCTAGTGCCATACTGTCTTTCTTGTCATTGCAGCGGGTAGGGCTTCCTGAGAAGCTCACGCTCTGCTACTGCATCCACAAGAGTCACGAGCTTCGGTCGGGAGGCCTCACAGTACTCGTCTGCAGCGAAGTTGACAACCAAACTCTGGGGATCTGAAGATATCTGAAGCCACAGCAGGCCTTGGCCGAAGAGGTAAGCTTGGCCAAGCCTCAGCAGGCCCGCAGCATCTCTCAGAACTCAAAAGACACACAAAAACAACAAACGAACCCAACCTAATCTTTAAAGAGCGCAAGCAGCGCTGCAGCGTGGACTCTCCGGCCTCTCGCTGCACCTGCGAAGCCAAGCCAACGTCCATCTCGGCGCGACGCGATACTTTAATAATAATATCTAATACGATATAATACAGTACAATACAGTATAATATAGTA